CTTTCGGGGGCTTTGAAAGCGGAGGGGCGCATGACTGTGTAGCTGGATGCAAGGCAGCGGATTCAAAAGAGTGAGCAGAGCGGTCATGGTGGGTATCGTGGGATACTCCTGGGGAGCAGTTACAGCGATGTAACAAACGCAGCATCTACAGTGATGCTTTGTCAATCTAACTTTGCCTCAAAAAGCTCTAGGTCTCTCATCAAGGTGGTTTTATTTTGTCGGCGGGAGGGGCATTATAACGTGCACACATCCACTGTTTTATCGACAAAGGCTGCCTTTTGCTGACAAAACTGGGTAGTGTAGACAAATACCTTTCCCAGATCTGAAGGGCTCTGTTTAGTTCAAAAGCTTTTCTCTTTCACCAACAGAAGTTACTCCAATAAGAGATTATTGGAACTGCACAGTCATGTAATATGGATCCTTTCATCTCAATCACCAAGTGTAATTCAGTGTAGTTTGATAGTGTCCTAAAGTCATTACAAACTGATGGCTTTTTGATAGCCTACATGAAATGCAGTGTGAGTCTGAGTCCATTTCCTGGTTGATAGTTCACCACCAGAAGTGGAATCACAGGTTTTGCAGTCCCAGCAGAGGAAGCCAGCTGAATAGGTTTGGAGACTGAACAACTCACCTTCTAGAAGTGGCTCCTCCTAGCCAAGTTTGAAGCCACTAGGCCTGGCACCTCAAAGAAATGTATATATTCTGTGCACGAAGTTCAGTCTCCAGAGGTCAAGTAGACCAGAACTTTTCAAGGCAGTATATTCATTTAAAATTAAAAAAAAAAGTAGGGGGGAAGAGATGGAGATTAAAAAATATATATATGTAAACACAAACTTACTTGGAGAAGAGTTCTGTGTATGCTCAAAAGCATGTCACTTTCACCAACAGGAGTTGGTCCAAAAGAAGATATTACCTCACCCACCTTGTCTCCACATCCTAGGACCCACACCGCTACAACAACACTGCCAACATTCTTGAAATAATACGGGAACTGCCTAAGATAAGAATGTCTGAAATGTTTGCAGTGTTCGTCATACGCTAAGCTATGAAGTAATTGCTTCAAGGTCATCCTGTGAGATTTGTATATTGAAAAATGTGCTACAAGTTATTCTATGCACACTTTAGTCTCTGCCTTAGTATGGCTGAGCTAATACCTTGTGTTAAATATCAATGTTCTGCTTGAAATGACAGAGACCATTTTATACCTAATAAAGGGCTAGCTTAACCTTTCCCGTGGAAAAAAAAGCAAGTCAAGCAGGACAGAGAAGCTGGAAAACTGAAGCTGGACTCAGTGCCTAGGACCTCCTACCATCACCTAGCAGAGGTTTGAGAAGAGATCACAGGGAAAGAAAGAAAAAGGCACGGCCTACTAATCCTACAATCTAACAAAGTAACCTCCAGGCATCTCTTCCTGCTGCTCCTCCAATTACCTCTACCCTGACAGCACAATTCCAGTAGGAATCTGCTGTCTTCACCTGATTCCCCCATAACAATCCAAAAACCTTGCAGGCAGGCAGGGGGTGCAGGGGAGCGGGAGGAGCACAAAGGGGAATGGGACTCCACAGGAACCAGTTGCTGTGCTACCTGAGGCAACTAGCTCTATAGGATATATCTGCAGAGCCAGATAGGAACAATGCTGCAGGAGACCCCTTCCACTCCATCCCCAGAAGCCCCATCAGTCACTATGGGGTCTGATCACTGATGTACCTACAGGAGCCAGGGTGAAAGAAAAACAAAAGCTATTTTCCACTTAAACAAATGTGTTTGGATTTAAGGATATTTTTGCCAACTTTACAACCAATGGCCAGAATCCTGAAAGGAACTAGGTGCATAGGGTCTGACAGCATGTTGCTCCTTGCTGGCGCAGGGCCTAATGCTGTGCCACTGTGTTAGGGCATGAGAACCTGAAAGTGAACTAGATTTTCTAGTTCATCTTCCCTATCCACATTAAATGTATTGCACACACTTCCCTCCCTCCTCCATAAACAGGCAGCATAAGGAAGTGCTGAAATGTAAATCAGATTTTTAGTTAGTTTGCATAATTGCTCGTGTTACTAATAACATAATTCTAAAACACTCAATCTCATAAGTTTAAAACTGCTTTAAGCTTTAAAAAGATTTCCATAGAAGTGTGTTTCTGGGAGCCAATGCACTTTCACAAGGATATCACTTTCCTGCATTTTTAGTAACTGCAGACAGACACATGGAGGTGCTCAAGAGAGTCTGGTTTGCTGTACAGACCTCTACCATTTTAAAGAGAGGAGTTAAATACTTGTTTAACATCCAGAGATAAAAGCTCTAAGGCAGAGTCTGCAGAAGCTCTAGAGTATCTGATATTCTAAAGTACTGTAACTAGATTCTTTAGTTTAGTAAACATGCTCATCTCCACCACCCCCCACCCCGACATGAAAGCTAAGGTCTAATGCAATCAATCTTTCCCATCCGTCCCCCTCACCACACACATGCTTAAAACTCAAGTTTACTCAATCTAAAATGGATTAGTATAGAAGTGTTTACAGCTTCAGTAATTCAATTGACTCTTGATACACTTTGCAAAATTTTTTAGAGAAATCACTTACTCCTTACCTACAAAAGGACTCAGCAAAGGCTGGAGAGAGGAATCTACCAAAATATTCGTGGGCATACCCACCAGAAGACCATTTCTTCAATAAGCTTACTGGCACACAGTTTAGCCTGTATAACACCAGACGTTTGTCTATCAATGGAACTCAGATGAGCCTGTAGCCTTCAATCCATCCCCCTCCCTTTACTGTCTCTTTGAAAGAGGAAAACCCTAGACAATTATTTGCTGCTATCATTCCTTCATTCTTCCTCTGCCTCCTGCTCCACATTGTCAGTCATTTTTGGATACGCCTTATTGCTAAGATCAATGCATTTCAGATAATACATTGCTGATATTGCATTTAAGCATGCTTATTCAAACTAAAGACAGACATTCAATCCCTACCTAATGAAGTAACTAGACAATGCCTTGCAGTAGGTCTTACTCCATTAGGTGTTTATTTTCAAATGAAAATTTAGTCAGTTTGTATGAGACCTGATTAGGTTCTTTATACGAGACACTGGTGATATATGCAGGGCAGTAGTGTGCAGGTCACTCCTGTCCTTCACTTCTGCTTCAGGAGAGACTCTACCTGCCATCCCAAAGAATGCATTACAGTGCGAAGGACCAGCTTCCACTTGCATATCAGAGAAAAGTCTCAGGATCAGAAAAAGGGGCAGGTCTGCCAGGGTCACTTTACCATCAACCCCAATCCTCACTACAAAAGTGAATGCATCTTGCAGGGGAGGTTCCTAGTGTAAGAGTATCCCTATGTCCTTAAGGAGCATCTGAAGTATCTTCATCTCCCCCAGCATCTGATCTTTATGGAGATTATTAGTGTCCTGCATAGTGTACTTACACAACACTATTAAGTCTTACTTCATAGCTATTGAAATATCAAGGGAAACAAAAATAAACTAGTTCATTAGATTTTTCCGTTTTTGTAAACCTTGATTTACCTAACTCCTTGAAAGGAATTTAAAGCCAAATACACTCCAACATGAGAAGGGCCAGGAATAATTTTCATAACAACTTGCATTGGGAAGAGCGGGACGAACCTCCAAAGCAATATGAAAAACAAGCATAAAAAAGGCAACAACCAGGCCCAAAAGGTAGATTGAGAGAATCACTATTTTACACAGTGAGAAACATAAGCCCAGAGAGCATAGTTGCCAGAGGTCACAGAGCAAGCAAGTGAAACAAAAACAAGCCCCAAGGCTCCCATTTCTAACCACACTGCAAATAAACTGACCAGACACCTTCCTGCTCTCACCTGAGACGGGCAACAACATACATACTTACACAGTGCTGCTTTCACCAGCAAATACACAAAAAGGGTTCTGCTTCCATGGGGTAAGACACAACACACCCACCAATACTCAGGATGCTGATGTCACACCCAACAGTGAAACACAACAATCCCCCTCCACATAACCCCCAGTAGCGAACAACCTACCCCCCCCCCATACATAGCCCCAATAGTGAAACACACACGAATACACAATTGCATGCAAATTGTGAAGCACAACATAGCCGCTCCCTCCCCCACTCACATCCAAGAAGACACAACAACCCTACACAATATACTTAACCCTTCACAGCCTGAAAGCACTACACAAATGACATGGGCATCTGCACAGGGCGCTGCTCCCACAGGCCAAAGCAAGGCGGGTCACACAGAAAGGAGCCAGCCCCTTCCACAAGGTCTCTCTGGGGCTGGGAAGCTGCTCCTCACCCCCCATATGCCAGACAAAGGGCTGCAGAGAGGCAATGGCCCCACGGATGGGAAGGCAGCAGCTCTCTGCCCCTCGGACTGGATTTTGGGGGCGGAGAGTGGGTGTCTCCTTATCCCCAGGAGGGAGCAGGGAACTCGCAGCACTGGCGAGGAAGGGGCAGCCCCCTGGATCTGGCGAAAAGGGGGCGTTTCCCTCAAGGGGAGGAAAAAGGGTCTCCCACAGGCCGGTCTCCGCCATCCCTCTCCCGGGCGCTGCGGACTCACCCTGCCCGGCACTCGGTGCACACTCTCATTCACGCGGGCGGGCGGGCGGCGCGGCTCTGTCCGGCTCCCCGCCGAGCCCAGGCGTCACCCGGCGCGGAGGGATCCCGCCGCTGCTGCTGCTGCTGCTGCTGGGCCGGGCGGGCCACTCAGCCCCACACCCAGCCACTGGCGGGGAGACGCGCTGCCCGTCGTTTGTTCCCTGCCTCCGCCGGGCCCGCGCCGCCGCCGCCAGCCCTGCCCCGCGCCCTGCGCAGCCGCGCCCCGCCCTCTCGCGTCAGCGCCCCGAGGGGCGGTGCTGCGGGGGCACCGCCGGGGAGCCCCCCCCGCGGCCCGCTCGCTCACGCTGCACCGGGGGGAGGCAGGTGTGGGCGCAGCCGCCCGGCGGGGTCTCAGGGGGACTGGGGGCCAGGCAGCTTTTAGCCCTTTAGGGCTGTTGAGAGAAACCTGTCACCACCCCCCCTTCCCCGGTGCACCTGCTGCTGCGCCGAGCCTGCGCCCGGGGATCGCCCGCGAGGGAGTCTAGCCTGGCGGGCTGGGCTGCCATCTGCTAGGTGCCTAGGCACGGGGGTCCGTCCAGCCGCTCTGGGCCGCGGCTCGCCATGTCCGTCTCACGAGCCATTTTTATTATGGTATCCAAAAAGCCGCCAGCGAAGTGCGGGTCCCGTTGTGCTCGGGGCTTTACCAACACGCAGGGTCCCGCGGATCCCCCTTCCCCGCATTGTGCTTCGCGCGCGTGAATAGCTCCCTTGCAATCAGCTGGGCAGGACTGCCTACAGCCTGAGAGTTGAGGACATGCTGTGTAAGGTTGGAGGTCCCTGCAACGGGCCCCGCAATCTAAGGCTCTGATCCTGCAAACATGGATCAGGTGAGTAGTCCCATTGGTAGCAATGGTGCTATTCATGTTAGTGAAGTTACTCGCATACATAAATGTTTGGCTCTCAGAAGACCAGGACATAAAGAGGGTGGGAGGAAAGTCATTCAGATCATACACATGTTATACCTACATTATAGGTATATATGTACTGTAGTTATTTATCAGAGGGGTAGCCGTGTTAGTCTGAATCTGTAAAAAGCAACAGAGGGTTGCAAGACGTCTGAAGGAGTGAGGTTCTTACCCACCAAAGCTTATGCTCCCAATACTTCTGTTAGTCTTAAAGGTGCCACAGGACCCTCTGTTGCTTTTTGTAGTTATTTAGTAAACATTACATACCTTTCTTATACATTATATATAATTTACACACTTTATATCTACATATTTATGTATAGTAGTTATTTAGTAAACATTACATACCTTTCTTATACATTACATTTTATCATGCATTATTTGCTGCATATTGTGCTGTATATTAATTATCTTTTTTGTAGACTATAGACAGTTATACTACTTAAGGCTCTATTATACCACATTCCTTGTACATCAAAAGCTTCTTTTGACTTTGGATACACAAGGAATACATAATTGGGCACTTGTGCAATTTAAAACATATGTCATACACTCTTTGTGATGCATTGATATACCTCATTCTGTGTCTCTAGTAGAATGGAGACAGGATTTAGCTTCTTATGTGTTGTATCCTCGAGACTTCTGCAGGGAATGATCTTGACTTTTATATTTTTGCAATCTCCTTTGAGGGTAGTGCCTGTTGTTGTTGTTGGGTGTTTTGGTTTGGATTTTTGTTCACTTGGTGATGATTCATTGCATGTTCCTTGTCCTCCAACGTTATGGTGTTTCACGTCATCTTGTGCCCTTTTGCTCACATGATGCTTTTGACTCTAACTTTTTATTTTTACACTATCAAGAATTTATGAATCAAAAGGTGGGGGAGTCAATCTGTGCAGTGGCTGAGTCAGCCGGTGGAAAATCAAACCAAGGAGGGAGTTTGTGCAATTACATATCACATTTACAAATATGGTTTCATTCAGCCTCACATGCTGCTCCTGTTACTACTAATAAAATTCTGGTTTCTCAAACTGGTCTGTGAACCTTGTTTTGTCTTCCTGGGGTTTTACTCCAATTCCTCAGTATCCGTTTTATTACAGCCTGTTCTTTTCCTTGTTTTTTTTTATTTAAATATTTCACTGAATGCATGCTAATTACAGTAAGAATTTATTAACATGAATGCACATCCTACACCCTTCTTTGTTCATAGTATTTGACGTGCAAGGGAATGACAGTTTATTTACCAGCAGCAATTTAATTTTTCCTTACATACTGGTAAGTTGTTCTAGTTATTTAACTTTTCTCTAAATTCTATCCTTGTTTGTTTCTTAATCCTCTCCTGAACTATTTTGCAATGGTGTTGTGATAATTTTGGAGGAGCAGGAACTCCGATGTTGAAATATTTTAATAGAGCCCAGGAACATAAGGGGGCACTGGGACAAAGGCTGCTTTAGCCATAATGAGGTCCAGGGGCGCTTTCCTGACATGTATTGGCACTGTTTGGACTGTAACGGGGAAGAAAAAAGGGAGGCAGCATGAAAGCATGTTGAAGCCAATAAAACAGGGACATTAATCATTCTTCTTCCCTTTGGTCTCTTCTTTTATGCCCTATTTGAGATCAGGAGATTATTCTCCATCTCTTTTTTTAATCTCCTGCACTTCCTGGTGTGGGAATCAGCCCTCCTTGTAGTAGCAGTGCCTCCTCTCTGTGACTGTCAAAAGTGCTGTTCTGGCAGGATATGTTTTCTCCAGCCCATTCTCTCTTCCATTTCCTCAGCTTCTTACCTTTCTTTCTTTTTCTCCCATCTCCTCTCTCTTGCTTCTCATCCATTGTTTCTCTCTTCTTCCATCCCACCTAATTGTAGGCAGGGCCGGCTCCAGGCACCCAAGCACATGCTTGGGGCGGCACCTGGTA